GAAATAGAGTGAATTCTACGAGAAAGAGCTGGACCAGTTCAAATGGGTTACCTGCGTGGAGCGGGAATCCAGGTGGGGAGGAGTGTGGCACGTGGTCGCTACTTTCGTTATAATCTTTATTAAAACTTTAAAAAATATTATATGTTAACTTTACTGTTAAGGGTTTACTAAGTTTTAAATAAATAAGGACATAGATCACAACTTCCAATTAAAAAACAAAACGAGGGGCGCCTGGGTGGCTTAGTCGGTTAAGCGTCCGACTTTCGCTTAGGTCGTGATCTCGCGGTTCGTGGGTTCGAGCCCCGCGTCAGGCTCTGTGCTGACTGCCAGCTCAGAGCCTGGAGCCTGTTTCAGAGTCTGTGTCTCCCTCCCTCTCTGACCCTCCCCTGCTCACGCTGTCTCTCTCTCTCTCTCCTAGAAATAAATAAAAATATTTAAAAAAAAAGTTGCTGATGAGCAATAAAAAACAAAACGAAAAAAGGTTTCACTGCTCTAGCCAAAGAGCTTAAATGCTATTTAATGAAACTACTTAGCATAAAAATATCTTGCAATTCTCATTATTTTACTATTCAAAATCAACTGCAAATGGACGAGGAAAGCTACAAAGTAATCCAAAACCACTGGAAAGCTTCTATCCCCACCTTCTGCCCTCTTCTCTCAAATGGAACAAAATGTAAACTGTAACTGCTCATTTGCCTATTTTACACATATTTATTTCTTGTGTTTCTGAGACACTGTGCCCTCCCATCCAGCCTTTACGTACCAGAGGCAGCGTCCTTGACTATAATGGAACAGGCTCATTTCTCACCTCTTTAGCTTGGGAAAGCATCAATGTATAAAGGACGCATGAGAGGCTCCTGGGTAACTCACTCAGTTTAAGCACCCAACTTCTGCTCAGGTCATGATCTCACGGGTCTGTGAGTTCGACCCCCACGTTGGGCTCTGTGCCGACAGCTCAAAGCCCAGAGCGTGCTTCAGATTCTGTGTGTCCCTCACTCTCTACCTGTTCCCTGTTTGTGCACTTTCTGTCTCTGTCTCTCAAAATATAAAATAAAACTTTAAATAAATAAATAAATACAGACCACATGAGTCATTGGTGCCAGTGTGTAACACGAGTACTGGTTAGTCAGGCACTCGCTCTACCGCTTAGGAGAAACCAGACTGATGTGGAGTGTGCATACAAAAATAAATAATAATAAATTTTTAAAAGAAAACTTTATTCCCGTTAGACCTAAACTCTCTCCTGAGAAGAGATACTGATTCTGGCCTCCCCAAATACATTTTTTTTTAATGTGCCATTCTCCCGTTTTCCACAGGTTTGGAAGTAGTACTAGATGCAGGATTGTTAGCCTATCTCTAAGAAATGGCAAGAGCCTGGGCGTGGGAACAGAATTCAGCCATGATCTTAGATGGAATTAGTCTGCGGTTACACACGCGTTGAAGCACACACGCACCACGCCCCATGCAGCCGTGCTATCAGGGGCGACGGGGGGTCTGAAACTTTACAAGCCTGCCCACTAGCAGGCCGTTGGTTTCACGGATGTGGTGGAAGATAGAAGACTTCAGGTCAGAGACAAAGAAGTTTATTGCTCACAGCAGCAGAGTACCATCCTTCGCACCCGCTCCCGGAGGCGTCGCCCCCACAGGGCAATGGGAAGGCGGGCGAGGTGATACACTGAGGCTTACATTTCAGGGAAAGAGCCCTCAGCTTAGGGGACCCAGATCTTCTTCTTCTGAACACTCTCATCGTGCTAAAATACACATCACACAAAATTTACTCTTTTAGCTTGTTTGGAGCACCCAGTTCAAAGGCACCACATCTTTTATAATAGACAGTAAGCCCGCCTGCCCTTGGCACCACAGGAAGACGTCATCTTTACTACATCAGACAATAAACAAACCAGGCCTTTGCCCTAAAGCAGGTGTTCGCAATCTCACTGCTATTAACATTCTGGACCAAACAGTTTTCTGTTGTGAGGGCTGCCGTGTATTATGAGATGATTTAGCAGCATCCCTGGCCACTTCCCAGCAGAGGCCAGTAGTCCCTCAGCTGTCACCGTCAAAAATGTCCCCAGAAATTGCCAAATAGCCTTTGAGGCAAGAATGTCTCCAGCTGAGAATGGCTGTTCCAGAGGAAGCCACTAGGTCTGTCCTTCAAGGTTGTTCAAACATCCTTGAAAAGATAGTTCAGGTAAAGGTGGTCTGTGCCTCTGCTCGTAATTTCTGCTGAAGAGATCCATGGGGAACCGACTCCCAGCAGAGGCCTCAACATTTACTTCTAGAACTTGATCTGCTTTTCAGGCACAAATTACTTGGCTGACTACCGATGTATTTATACACACACGCATGCACACACACGTACACGCATGCACACACACGTACAAGCGCACACACATACACCTCTGTTCATGGCCCTTTGACTAAAGTTTTAATATGAACCATTTAGATGATAGGAAATCAGTACAGAGAAGTTAATAGCTATGGCCCAAAAGGGAGTGTATGTAAGTGTCATTCATAGCTGAGCCAAGGAGTATCCAATGACTACACGTCCTTTCTTATATAAGAATTTTTCCTTTCTTGAGCTAATCAGTGCCTTTTTTTTTTTTTAATACTCTTCCCCCAGATTACTCATATGCTTTGAAATTAGACAGACCTGCATTCAAACACCAACTTCTAGGGCACCTGGGTGGCTCAGTTGGTCGAGCATCTGACTTCAACTCGGGTCATGGTCTCGCAGTTCATGGGTTCGAGCCCCACGTCGGCCTCTGTGCTGACAGCTCGGAGCCTGGAGCCTGGAGCCTGTTTAAGGGCCCTCTGTTGTGCTCCCTGTGTCTCTGCCCCTCTCCTGCTCGCGCTCTCTCTCCCTCTCCCTCTCTCAAAAATAAACATTAAAAAACATTTTTTTAAATACTACTCCTCCGCATGACGGTACAACCCGAGACAAGCAGTCCAATCTATATGAGCTCATTTTCTTTCTACGTATAAAGTAGGGGTGAGGAAACCTATGTTTCAGGGTTGTCATCACAATTATGAGAAGCTCAGAGTGGCTGGTACAGTGCCTGGCACATCACAAGGGCACGTCCTCAGAGCTGTTCTTACTGTAACAGAGCTTTACACTGATCTCTCCACACCTTCACTTGGTTCTTCACAGTATTTGTAACACAGCTGCTTAGGATGTGGAGCAAATGGTGCCCAGACCCCGGGGAGAATGCCTCTAAGACTGGACCCCGTGAGTATCTCTTGCCAACCACACGTGCTAAGTCCAGCTCTATTATTCATAGAGTCAAAGAAGAAAGTAAGCCTGACCTTAGGTCACCCGGTTTTATTTCCTTCAAACTGACATCAGTGTGTTGATGGTGCCCAGCTTTCACCAATCTGAGAAACGGAGTTCTGCGGACACTCATCCACAGACATTCAGGTAGTTTCAGAGGCCAGTTCGCTCTGCTGGCTCAGTGGGTTACCTGTCAGCCTTCTGATTTCGGCTCGGGTCATGATCTCAGGGTTTGCGAGTTCAAGCCCTGCATCTGGGATTCTGTGTCTCCCGCTCCCTGTTGCCTTCCTGCTCTCTCTCTCTCTCGCTCGCTCGCTCGCTCTCTCTCATAAATAAATAAATAAACATTAAAATTTTTTTTAAATAAAGAAATACCTATCACAGATTTTTGAAACTTGTTGAGTAATTAACAAAGATTTCTCTTTTGGTAAGAGTGGTATGATTTTCTTTGATTTCTGGCATTTTGGCTTTGGAATATAAATGAGCCTAGCTTTGGCAGCTGTTAGGCTGTATGCACGTGATGATTACTCTTCTTTGTCTTAAAATGTAACATTTAATTATACGTTGACAGAAGACTTAAAATTCCATTTTTCCCTCAGGAAAAAAAAATACCTATAACTAGAGTTTACAAAAAATTATTAGTTGTAGCTAATCCTGGGTAATAAATTGGATTTTTGAAATCGGTGTGATTTTTAGCACATTAGGCTTTTCATCAGGAAGGCGACGCTTAGAGAAAATGCCGGCGGAATAATCAAGCAGAGTCTCACTGTCATGCTGTTAGGACAAATACAACTGAGAAGACCATCTATGGAACTTGCTGGATTGTGAAATTTGCTCTCTGAAAAGGAAATATCACGTAATAGCCTAAGGACGAGCGGCAATTCCTAGCAACTTTATGTTCCCTTGAGCCTGGGGTATGATTTCTGCCCCCCACCCCCAACCTAAATTCCAGTCCTCCATTTAGAAATGTAAGAAATCTACTTGAATGGTATTAAAAAGCCTAACTTATTTCTTGCATCATTTAACCCACACTAACGCTCCCTCATCCCCTCTACAAGCGCGTGCGCACACACACACACACTCCCCGTCTCTCTGTCTCTCTCTCTTCCCTACAAATACAGTGTTCCATTGGCCTCAAAGGAAAATCAATATAACACACAGCAAATATTTGAGTTGCATCTGTAGAAGCAATTCTTGTATGAAAAACAAATTCCAACCACAGCAATTTCAAAACCCATATAGAAGAGAACATCACAGCATAAGGGAAGGAAGGAAGGAAGGAAGGAAGGAAGGAAGGAAGGGAGGGAGGGAGGGAGGGAGGGAGGGAGGAAGGGAGGAAGGAAGGCTCCTTTTCTAAAAGGAGGAATTTTTTCTGATAAAAACCGCAAGTCAATATTTTTTTCCGGAATCAAACTTTCTCCCTCTTTGCATTTCATGGCTTACCCCATTGCACTTTATTCTTCGGTGTTATTTATTAAAGTTATATCATTTTCCAAAAGTATAAAAAATATACAAAAATAAGACCATCCAAATGGCTATTCTCTTTGTAGGAATACCAGGAAGGCCTGAAGGTGTGTTGTGTTGTTTTGTGTTTAACATTGTTCAGCCACCTGGCTGCCTGAGGCGGTTCAACCAGCCTCTGCGCAGGAAGAGCCTGGGGCAGGGAACTCAGAGCACAAAAGAAAAGTGGTGATTGGTTCAGGCGCATTTTTAAAGCCGTGGAGACTACCTGATCGACTGGGATCTCAACTCGAGTATCTTCATCTTCTTGGACTTCTGCTGCGCCCCGTGTCTCAGACCTCTCTGTTCCAGCTTTGAAGACGCCTTCATCTGTTATTGGAGACAAATGCACAGCGAAAATCAAAATCCAACTGTGACATCGTGTGGCTGAATGTTGGAATTACATACAATCAGAGACCTAATGAAGATCATGTTTTCTGATCGGCATCTTGGCTCCTTTACCATGTCCCCCCAATCTTCTGCATTTTCGCCCTGGGGCGAGGGGCAGTGGTCAAGACAGGTGGACCCAGGTGGGCAGGTCCCAGACCCGCCCCCTCACCCTCTGGCTGCTGACTTAGTAACACAACTCTGTAGATATATTTAGACAGAGAGGACCTCACACCTATAATCTGCTTGCCACTCATCCAGGAAGCAGTGATGATGCTCGGTGCCTGAAAAACACCGGTTTCAGGACTCTCCTTTCCAAAGAGGATGCTCTGCGCTGAGTACAGCATTTTGGAATCACAGAGCTGACTCCGGGTCTCACACAAATCAATCTTTTATTTTGCAGAATTCCACGGGATTTTCCCAACCTAGGTCTTTACTTAGCTGGAAAATGAACCTAAATCTCTAAGACTTCTGGTTAAGCTCCCGTGACCTGTTTTCCCCACAGAAAGCAACGATAGCTGTTTTCCGTATCCAAAGTCGTTTTCCCGTTTCCCCTCAGTCTTCTCTCCTCTGGGCCACGTCAGCAAAGAGTCCCAGAACCATTTGTCATTCTCACGGCGTGCCCCCAAATTAGGTTTAAGGCTTCGGTCCTTCTCACAGAGGGTTCCTCTGTCGAATTTTTAAGGACTTCCAGGAATGGAGAACTCACCTCCCTCTCTGGTATTATAGGACTAGATTATTTCTTGCACTGTAAAAGTATGGTTTCACCTTTTATCTGAAAATCCCCTCCATTTCCCCAACAGAAGCTTGCTTCCCAGAGCACAGTGACTGGACACGTGTCACATGATAACACGTCATAGTGTTCAAGTTGTAAAGTCACTCTTGATTAAGTGTAAAACAGATTCCTACACTCATGGAGGCTGAGTTACATGGAAGGCACCATGTGAGTCAATGTGGCCACCTAAGCTATAAATGAGGTGTGGACTGTCCACTCAGGTTGCTTACAGACCAATAGTGTCTGTCCAGACAAGTACACACGCCCCCAGTAAGGCTCCTCATGGGAGAGGTAAGACAGGATACAGCAGAGGCCTGTGGGCACTTAGCAGAAGCAACCGAGTGGAAAAGGGAGGAAGGAAGGAGGAAATGTAACCAAACTCAAGCCCTTCTGGTTTCTCCTAGAGAAATCATTTTCCTTTTTAATTACTTTTTTTGTACTTTGACTGGATATTGGCTTCTCTACTCTCCTTTTTAAAAACCAGGGACAACACAGCCGCCCTCAAAGCTGATTATACGTGTGAGATTAATTTGCACGGATTAACTCATTTTGAGGATTATCTACAGCAATCATGGACTCCCAGCCTGGTCCTTCCTAACACCCAACCAAGTCTTTCCACCCAGTGATCCTTTCTTCCATCAGCCTGGATGCTTAAGCAATCCAGAGTCATTTTCCACTCAGCAGTTTTCTCACTTAAATCATCCAATGTGTACATTAAAATTAAAAACATACATATATACAGGAATCCTTACAGAATCATCACCAAATGATATGGCAGCACCGGCATTACCACCAGTACTAACCCCCGCCAAGGACGTGCCCCACGCAGCATATGCAAGGACTGTGTCCTGATGCTGTTCTGTCACACAACTGAGAACGGACCCACAGTGAAACCGCAGCCGAAACCCCAGCAACATCAGAAGAAAGAAGATGGAAAGTGAAACAGAGACTGTGATGATGTCCTCACAAACATAGGAATAAATGCACAGAGTTCTGGTCGTGCACTCAACAAAGCTGTCCTTGACCTAACAAAGGTGCAGGGAAAGTCGTTGCAAGGGGCTATGAAAACAACTTACAATTATTCTGTCGTAAAGGAGGCAAAGCGGAAAGAGGTAATCAAGTCCACAGAAGTGGAGTCAGCTGAGATCGGGGAAGCTCTTGGTCTCTCGGTCCAATTCTGGAACTTGGAACTCAAGGAAACAATGGTGGAAACAACGGAAATAAATTCTGCCTTATTCACACATGGATGTGTGGAGTTCATGACCTTGAGGATGTTCACAGGCAGATTTCAAAAACCAGGCCACACAATTTATCAAATGTTATCTCCGGTATGGTTTTAAGAGGAAAACCAGGCATGTGTGACATTCATTGCTACCTTCTGGATTACCTTAGAAGACAATAATCACATTCATCCACTGAATGTCCCTGGAGTCAACCTGCAGAGAAGGACGCTGCCCGATGGTGAGGCACTAAATACCTGACTTGTGGGGTGACATTTTAGCATTCATGTGTTGCACTTATTTTCAAGAGTAACCTACAGATACGAACAGAATATATTCTTAAATACATTCAACAAAATGCTTAACTGTATCCCACCAGAGCTATGAATGGTTTGTTGAGGTGTTTCTGAATAAACATTTCACCAGAAAAGAAAAATAAAATCAACAGCAACAAATAAAATAAAATTGGAAGGGCGCTGGAATGGAAAATGGCAGCCACAGGGTAGAAACGGCAAAGAGACAAATCACAAGAACTCAGCGTTGTGTACGGCGATGCGGAGAGCAGAAAGATAAAAGTGTGTGTCTGTGGTCTGGGTGGAGGGCCTTGTCCGCCAGTGACCTGACGTGTGAGCCGTCTTGTGCAGCACAGCAAGAAGGGAGGTCAGAAGGGAAGTCACGGGAATAAACAGTGGCAAAAAGGGAGAACCCCTAAAAAATTACTCTGTGATAGGAGAAAGCCCATTAGGATTTTAATGTTTACTATACATGATATATAACATTCAAAATAGAGAAATATGAATTTCTATAGAAAAAAAACATTTTTACACAGCATGTGCTGATTATAAACTGTGTCTATAATATGTATGCATTTTTGAAAACTTGGAAAATGAAGAACATAAACATCCTTCTAACCTCATGACCCAGAGACAATTACCACTGATAATTTGACAACAGGCTCTCCCCGCCTTCTCTCTCGCTCCCTCTTTCTCCTTAAACACACACACACACACACACACACACACACACACACACACTCATAAAATGGATGAATGGAATCTTACTGTATATATAATTTTCTAAGGCTGTTTTTTACATTGAAATCACATCATGAGCATTGCCCATATCATTGAATGTTATCTGAACACACAGGAAGTTGCTGCACATAGTGGTACGACACTGTAATTAAGGGACAATACTGAACAATGAAAGACTGTTTTTAAACGAATAGAGTAGATTTCATTCATTTGATTGATGGGTAAATACGTATCAAGGTCCACTATACAAAAGTCACCCTGGCACTCTTTACAGGCTTCGCATCTTACGGAAAGGTCACAGAGACATGGACTATTTATCTTTCCACGCACATACCCCGTAGGTCCTTTCCTGCCTGTGAGTCCTTGTTTCCCAGGAATAAGCACGGTGCCCTGCCCACGATAAGTCCTTGAGGAACGCTTAAGTCAAAGTTGAAATTTAAGTCAAAAGACAAGTTCCGGTTTAATCTCTTTCTTGCATGTTGAATCCCTTCTTGTTCTAAGTCCCTTTAACCCCACCCCCTGTGTCATGGCCAAGTATTGAATTTTCTCTTTCAAAACTTCCCCTGAGCATGTGGACATACCAGCTTTAATGCAAGTTTGATTTATACAATTAACTCATATAAATCCTCAGTCTCTCCACCGAACGTCTCATTTTAGAGGAAACTTCACCAATTGGTGTCTCTCCAGCCTGTATCTATCACCTGAGTGGTTTCAATACCCAGGTGATGAGCCATTCCACACCCTGGCCTCAACATTTTGGCTTCTCAACTCCCCTGACCACACACCCTGTTCATCCTGGGCAGGACTTCCATCACAGCCTGCCCGCAGAGTCCACGGCGTTAGCGCTCATCTCACACCCGTGTCTCAGCATCCGGGTGACGCGTTTCAGCCTTGTCCATGTGTGGCTGCCTGTTGGAGTCTGAGTCCAGCTTTCTCTCTCCATTTCTCCAATTCCGCTCTCCAGGGGTCAGCAGTACCACGAGCTGCTGCTTCTAAGTCTCCTTGGCCAACTCAGCCTCCTCTGCTCACCCTCCAAGTGTGGGACCACTGTTCTCTGTTCACACACTCCCCTTAGACAAGCTCATCAAGATCATGGCTTGAACACCAGCCATAAGCCAATGACTCTCTGATCTGTATCAGCCTCTTCAGAGATTCCCAAAACTCATATATCCAATTGTCTAACTTGACATCTCACCTTTGATATCAAATGGGCATCTCAACCTTAACATCATCAAAACAGGGGCGCCCGGGTGGCTCAGTCAGTTCAGCCTCTGACTTCAGCTCAGGTCATGATCTCACTGTTTGTGGTTTCAAGCCCCACACTGAGCTGTCAGCTCAGAGCCTAGAGCCTGTTTCAGATTCTCTCTCTTTATCGCCTTCTCTGTCTCCCCCTCCCGCACTCATGCTCTATCTCTGTCTCTCAAAAATGAGTGTTAAAAATTTTTTAATTAAAAATAAAAACATCATCAAAATAGAACTCTGGTCCTCCCTGGGCCAGCTGCCCATCAACTCTATTCCCCACCCCAGGAAATGGTAATACCACTCAATCCCCAAATCTTGGAATTATTCTGACTTCCTTCTTGCTCCCACTCTGTGTATCCATTCTACGGTTGTCTTGTCAACTCAATTTCCTTTTAAATATATCCCAAATTGGTGAATATTATTTCCATCTCCATTATCAACTTAGACTAATCACCATTATCTGCAGGATGGGCAATTGCAAAGCTTACGCATCGTCTTTTCTTCAAAAGGTTATCTTTTCTTCTTCCGGCTATCCTGTCATTCATCCTCCGCAAAATAGCCAAGTAAGCTCAACAGATGATAAAAAGTATTTAGAAACTCTCTAACAACATCCCGTCATGCAGAGAACCCAAGGTCTCTACCATGGCTCGCGAGGAAGTGATCTGGCACTTA